TCAGTTTACGAGCCAAATTCTCGTCATTTGCGGGAGGTTTTAATTTTTTGCTTCAATATGAAGAAATCTGCGGCTGAGGCTCATCAAATGCTCTCAAATACTTATGGTGAGGCTGCTATTAGAACGTGTCGTCAGTGGTTTCAACGCTTCAAGAACGGTGATTTTGATGTCCATAGTCGTGCTCTGTATTTGGTGGGACCAGCTCGGTGTAGTGTATTATGAACTGTTAAAACCGACTGAAACAATCACAGGCGATCGGTATCGAACGCAATTGATGCATTTGAGCCGAGCATTGAAAGACAAACGGCCGCAATACAACGAGAGACACGATAAAGTGATTTTGCAGCATGACAATGCTCGACCTCATGTTGCGAAAGTGGTCAAGACATACTTGGAAACGTTGAAATGGGAAGTCCTACCCCACCCGCCGTATTCTCCAGACGTTGCTCCCTCTGACTATCACTTGTTTCGATCAATGGCACACGGCTTGACTGACCAGCACTTCCAGTCTTATGAAGAAGTAAAAAATTGGATCGATTCGTGGATAGCCTCAAAAGATGACCAGTTTTTTCGACGCGGGATTCGTACGCTATTCGAAAGATGGGAGAAAGTAGTGGCCAGCAATGCACAATACTTTGAATCATTCAATTAAATGTATAACGAGTTTTTTACAATAAAGCCTCGAATTTTGGAAAAAAACGGCGGAAACAAAGTTGTACACCTAATATGTACATATATATGAACATATTTTATATATAATTATATTGTAATGTCAATATATATACAATTATACATAAAACATTTTTTCCTGGATAAATGAACAAATCAATATATAAATATAAATAAATAAATAAGTATAATTTGTACCAATAATACTTACACCAACATATAGCGGCGGAATCTTCAGGGCATTTATGGAATTATTCTGTTTTTCCTAAATAATAAAAATCAAAGAAATTGAATAATTTCAATAGAAATCCATTTCGTAATGTCGTAATACGTACTCTAATCAATTCTTAAAATCATTTGCTTGACAGTTGATGTTGTTCCACACTTTGAAATGAAGAGAAAAGACACATAGTGGGATCTGATGAAAATGCACAGAGATCAGTTGTAGCAACATCATTTATTTTTTCGCAGTTGCAAACCTGGATCTACGAACGATATACTTCAACTCAAAAGGGGCGTGGTTTGCTCAAATCTTAGAACATATACTACTGGAAGGAGCATAAGTCTACATCCCTGTACATTCGATTGAAGTCGAGAAGATTGACAAGGATGGAGATAGAATGCGCCTAGTCAACAATGCCTATGTTTCTGTCAAAGTGCGGTCTTACTACAAACACCGAAGCATTTAATGGAACCAATTAAAAGAAAGCATTTTGCAAACTGATCAATTAAAAAACGCTTCAAAGCAGCGTGTTGATATTTCCAAATCGATACATAGGGGGAGTGAAATGTCGCTTTTTTTCACTGCTTTTCTTTTACCCCACAGACTACCTGCGCATCGATATGGAACATTGCTAATTAGACACATTCTATCTCCATCCTTAAGCTTTCCAATAGTACATATATTCTAAGGCCCAAATTGAACATATCATGTCAATCCCTTCCGTCATAGTCGACACGCACTACTCGAGTTTGAAAATGAGGAAAAAGAGAGAAATGACTATATCTATACTAATCTATCTATTATACTATATCTATACTAAGACCCTTTAAATTATTATTATAACTCTAAAATAGATATTTTTTTAGGTGAAATATCGCGCTCAAATTAGTGAGATCTCACTGCTGTCACTAGTAAATAAGAGATAACCAAAATTTCTATGTGTATAGTCCGATTAATTGTCAATGTCTGATATTGTAGAATATTAGAATTTAGCCGATGTACACACTAATGTTGAATACATTCAAGATATACTGAGATGGATTCAGTAATTTAAGCGCACCTATTACAGATTCCTAATTGCTCTAATTTAATTACTATTGTTTAAGTTATTTTATTATAAGGAATCTTATTAATTTTTATAATTTTGAAATATAATTTATCAAATTGTAAAAATAATTATCACTGTTGTAGTATTTAATATTTTACAATTAATATTTACACTCATAACAATTTTTTTAACTGCTTTAACACATTTACTATTATTTTTCCGCATCGTGTGAACAAGGCACGCTGAAATCGCATGTAATGCATCATTATTTTTTTATCTTGATATCTATATTTACATACTTAGATTTTGTCATTTTGCTTCATTCATCTTAACATTACGCGATTCCATTATATCAATCAACATCAAATTATTTTAACTTCTCAAAATACAACAGTTTATTATAAAAACGGTTTATAAATACGATTTAGGTGACTTTATGGATACAATGGCCCGTTTCTATATAGATTAATTTTAATCTCAGTTCAATTTACTCTTTATCTTTTTCTAATTCTCAGAATTGGAAAAAGATAAAGAGTTAAATTAAGATTAAAATTAAACTATATTGGTAGAAATGGACCAATGACGCACTTTCTATTCTATAACATGAAATACGCTAATTGGTTGCTCCAATAATACATTCTCTATTCCACAGTCTTATTCTGCACCATGATTTTACTCATAAGAGTGCAGTTCCATGAATTATAGGCATTGGCGGAATGTTCGTGAATTGGTCGTGGCTTCATTCCGCTGATTCCGTTCCGCTAAAATATGTTTTCTATATCCTATGGAGCGAAATTTTCGAAATACTCAATTCGGAATATTCAATTAGCGCTGATCAATCAGAAAAGCCTAGATCACTTTCATTGGATCCATCGGAATAGCGTTTGTCATTGGTTTGCATTGATTGCGCATCTGCAAGTTCCGCGCTCCATGGGACATGGGGAAACTAAACTCCTGTGAATCGGAAATTACATATACGTACAGATATTACCCCGACTTCATTTTGTGTACCCATTTCGATTTTGATGTATATTTTCGCTTTTCTGTATACTATTACGATATTCGTGTTCTCATCATATTGATCTCCGTATTTATCTAGAGACTTAATTCCTTTCAGAGTTATGTTTAGATTCTCACCCGAGTGCTAACCAGGTATTATTTCATTCTTGTTTTCATCGAATGTTAAACAAGGATTACATAACACCCGGAGAACACCCAGGTGGGAATCCGAACACGCCTCAGCATTGTTGATTAACCATGCGCTTGTAAGAGGCAATTTTTTCTATTTAAGCCAGCTTAACGAGGTTTTTATAAGTATACATATGTGCATGCACACGCATACATACAAGCATTGGCGGAATAAAGCTGTAATACTCGTAATAAATACTCAACTGTAGTTGATTGGTTCTTACATTTCTGATCTGAATTAAATCCTCGGTGGAAACTAGGCCTATATGATATTAGCTGCGTTCAGCAAACGCAACTCACTCACTGCCAGTGAGAGTATATCTACACAACTTGCATAGCCATATAAACATATGCATAAAGAAAATTATCCAATCACATTTTAACCGATTCTATTAGTTGCAAGCCGATCGCAAGTTTGTTGCGACAGCCAATATGAAGCATTGATTTCAAAATGCAAGCATCAGATTGATTGTTGCAACAAGCTTGCGATCGGCTTGCAATTAATGTAGAACTGGCTTAAAATGTGATTGGATAATTTTCTTTATGCATACGTTTATGCGGCTATGCAAGTTTGCATGGATATACCTTGAGAAATTAAAAATATATATGAGTACCAATTAAATATAATTCAGTGAGAAATGACAATCGACATCGGATCGATTTGATGTCAAAAACATCGAATTGACGTCGAATCGACGTCGAAATTGATTCCATTGTCATTTCTCACTGAATTATATTTAATTGGTACTCGTATATATTTTTAGATCTAATGCCAATCAGATGCAAGAACTGAGCGGTTGGGACTGAATGCACCCATTGCATCACTTCAGTAATTTCTTAATTCTATGGCACTGTCACATGCAGATGCTGTAATAAATTTTTTTTCCGATGTATACGTACATAGAACATAGTAAACGCATGCTGCTGAGTAGCAGAGCGAAACGAAATACTGAGTACGAGAGAAAAAGAGAAAGAAGGAGGAACGTTCTTGTTTATGATATGTGTAATCGAGCAGTATTATTCGGAGCGCAAAGCAAAAGAAGCTGTATGACTGTGTCCCTCTGCATTAAATTAAGGACGAGTGATCAAAGGATGCGCGCATATGTCTAGGCATTGCGATATCCAGTTTTTGTATGATAGACGGGTGAAGAAGGTGGCTGCCACCGCCGCTGCCGCCGCCACCGTCGCCGCTGCCGCCGCCACCATCGCTGCCACCGTCGCTACCGTTGCTGTCGCCGTCGATCACACGGCGGTGTTGGAGTACGCGAGCGCAGCTGAGTGCTGCAAGCTGGCTGCGGCCGTGAGCATTGCCCATCCGGACGAAATCGACGCGATTAGGGTTGACGAGATCATCATGACGGATACGGCGTCTGCAGCTGCCGCTGCCGCCGCTGCGGCTGACACGCAAAAACGGGCCAACTTTTCGGCGTTGACAGTCGGTAATCCGAACGGCGTCAGCAAAATATCGCCAAGCCTTACGAATGCAAAACCCGGTTCCGCAAAGAAGCTCGTCATCAAGAACTTCAGAAGTAAGTTACTGGACGCGGTACGCTAACCGATCTTGACCTAACCTCAAACATCAGCTGCTTCGTCTCGCAAGAACAGCGAGTCCCAGAACGTTTTGACTTTCCTTTCTTGTTCTTGGTTTTTTTTTTATGTCTTGTTCTTTATTTTTTTTGCTTCAGACAACTCAAATTTTTTAGGCTGCACTTCGTGGATTTAAAGACATTCTTGCGTCATACTTAATTAAAGGACACATAACCTAAGCTGTAAATCGTAATAATTCAATAGATTGACCTTACTTTTTTATATTGTCGAATCACGCAGTTAATTGTAATTAATTGTGTGATTCAATGCTTACATGGAAAATACATTGATGCGTTAAATGTCTATTTATAGATAATTGTTGTAATAATGTTACAATACAGAAATCTATAAATGGACACTTAAGTTTGACTTGACATTTCGCCTTTCTTGTGTTTATGTAGATCATGCATTATAATGTGAGAGAACTACGATTTCGTAATTAAATAGTATAAGAAAATAATATCTTAAAATTATGCGATTGAGTAAATTAAATTTTTTAATATATATATATATATATATATAGTATGTAATTTTTATTATAAAGTGTTTTTATACTACTATATAATATATTATATAAAATTATTTTCATTAACTTTGAAATTAATTTATGAGATATTTAATTGTAGGAAATGTCTTCCAAAAGAGTTTCTCAAAAAATATGCCAAATTCTATTCCATTGCTTTATTTTTTTGTAATATAATATTTTTTATAGGTAAACCTAAATTACCAGAAAACTATCAAGAAGAGACATGGGAAAAATTGCAGGAGGCTGTAGTTGCTATACAAACCAGCAAAAGTATCCGCTATTCTCTGGAAGAGCTTTACCAGGCAGTTGAAAATATGTGTAATCATAAAATGGCATCAACACTTTATTCAAATTTAACTATTCTGACGGAATCTCATGTAAAAGCTAATATCGAGCAGTTTCTGGCGGAATCTATGGACAGACATATATTTTTGAAGAAAATGAACGAATGTTGGCAATCGCATTGTAGGCAAATGATAATGATCAGGAGTATCTTTCTGTATCTTGATAGGACATATGTTTTACAAAACCCGAGCATTTCATCGATATGGTAATAAAGCGAAAATATTGTCAAGAATAAATCTTACAATTAATTATGCATACACTTCATTTGATCTCTTCTTTCAGGGATATGGGATTACATCTATTCAGATTACACATTGTGCTGAATAGTTTAGTGCAAACGCGTACCGTTGAGGGTCTTCTTATGCTTATAGAAAAGGAACGACAAGGTGATACTGTAGATCGAACGCTTCTCAAGTCACTGTTGAGAATGTTGTCGGATCTACAAATCTACCAAGAGGCCTTTGAAACGAAGTATGTTGTGATAAATCTAATATATATTGTCGGTTGATTCATTGTTATTGACA